CCGCGCTGTTCCTCAGGCCAAGGCGGCGCCTGCCCCTGGGCACGGTGTTGGGACCTGTCACCCCTCCCCGGCAGCCGGTGTTCATCTGGGGGGCCAGCTGGGCAGGGGACATTTTGGTTTCCTCCCCAGGCCAGCGAGATGAGGGAAGCCCCACGGTCTGGGGGCTCCGGCACTGATGCCTGTGGCACCCGGCTCTGCTGCCCCGGGGCTTTCAGCTCTACCCTGTGGCGCTGGGCTCAGGGGTACGGGAGCAGGGGACAACAGCGATCTCCTCCCGGCTCCAGGCCAGCCCATCTGGGTTTCCTGTCCAATGCCATTTCATTGTGGCAACGTTGCCAGAGCCACAGATGCCTCTGAGGGCCAGCAAAGGGCTCCGCAGAGCCGAGAGCATCAGTGAAGCACCAGGGTGAAGAGGGGGAGGTCCTTCCAGAGGGATGCACTGCAGAGTGGGCAAGCGATGGGTCGTGGCCGGGGCCGGCATCCGCAGCGGTGCTTGATGCTGGAGATACCTCCCGAGTCAGGGAAAGTCCAGCCCGGTGGCCCAGTGGGCAACCAGTCCAGGGTGCGAGCCCTCTTCCAAAGGTCCCGCAAACAGGCTTCTCCCATGGATGTGGCGAGCTCCGGGCACTGCAGGTAACGGCGCTCAGGGCAGGCAAAGGGAAGCACAAATAACCTCAGCTTTTGCCCAAAGGGCGGCTCCCCCCTCTCACCCCTATCCCATCCTCCCTAAACAGCCCGCAGGGCCCAGTCCTTCGGGAGGGAGGACGCCCTTCCCCTGCCTGTGGCCCAGGATGCCCCCGCGGTTCGCAGGGCTGGAACCCCTCCGCTCCCTGGGGTGCAGGGACTGATTGCTCCTCCACTCCCTGGGGCATGGGGACTGATCACCCCTCCGCTCCCTGGGGCATGGGGACTGATCGCCCCTCTGCTCCCTGGGGGCACTGATCACCCCTCTGCTTCCTGGGTCGTGGGGACTGATCACCCCCCACCTGAGCCCCCCAGGGTGCAGCAGCACAGTGAAAAACAGTTGGGTAAGGAACCAGCTACAGCTGACCAGGAAATGCCATGGTAAAACCAACAAACCACAATTAAAACAAAAACCCGGGATGAGTATTGCATTCTTAAATCCCGCAGGATATGGCCAGCCCTGAAGTGGCCCAGCAGCTGGGCTAGATGATCGCCGTAGCCCCTTCCAACGGAACTATTCTGTTCTACTCTATTCCACTCTATTCTATTTCCTTTCTGCAAAATCAGCAAGGAATTAAAAACGGGTTCAATAATCAGAAAGCATGTGGGGGATTTGTGTCACCCGCTGTCCTGGTCTCAGTGGGGACGGAGTTGATTTTCCTCCCAGCAGCAGGCACAGTGCTGGGGTTTGGGTTTAGGGTGGGAAGGACGGTGATGGCTCAGTCGGTGCTGAGCAGGGCTCACACCAGGCAAGGGCCTCCCAGCTTCCCCCGCTCTGCCAGGGGCACAAGGAGCCGGGAGGGGGCACAGCCAGGACAGCCGACCCCAACTGACCCCAGGGGTACCCCACACCGTATGATGTCATGCTGAGCACATCGAGCTGGGGAGAAGAAGGAAGGGGGGGACGTTGGGTGTGATGGCATTTGTCTCCCCAGTCACCATTGCACGTGATGGAGCCTGGCTGTCCTGGAGGTGGCTGAGCACCCCCCTGCCATGGGAAGCAGGGAATGGATCCCTTTCTTTGCTTTTGCTCTCCCCATTAAACTGCCTTTACCCCAACCCAGGACTTTTCTCACTTTGGCTCTTCCCATTCTCCCCCCACCCCACCAGGGGGGAGCGAGCGAGCGGCTGGGGGCGGCTGAGCCACTGACCGGGGTTAAACCACGACACCATTTAGAGGAAAATAGCTTTAAAAACTTCACTGCAGTTGAAAGAAAGGGATTTCCTTCTACAAACCCTCAGGCAGGAAAGAGAACTGCTTTTTCCTTCTTTCAGCCCGGGCATTCATAGGGTGCCTGTAACCATTCACCACGGGCAAGTCCTGCCTGACGACCCAAGTGGCTTCCTGTGACAGTGTGACAACAACAGCGGCCAAGGGAAAACCAACGGACGGCATCTCTCTGGACTCCTGCAATGCCTGTGACACGGTCCCCCACAACATCCTGCTCTCTAAACTGGGGAGCTATGGATTGGATGGGTGGGCTGTTGGGTCGATAAGGAATTGGTTGGATGGTCACATCCAGAGGTCAACGGCTCCATGTCCGGACGGAGACTGGTGACGAGTGGTGGCCCTCAGGGGTACATACTGGGACCGGTGCTGTTTAATATCTTCATCAATGACCTAGACAGGGAGATCAAGTGCACCCTCAGCCAGTTCGCAGGTGACACCAAGCTGGGTGGTGCGGTTGATACGCCAGAAGAACGGGATGTCATCCAAAGAGACCTGGACAGGCTGGAGAGGTGGAGTCATGGGAACCTCATGAGGTTCAACAAGGCCAAGGGCAAGGTCCTGCCCCTGGGTCAGGGCAACCCCCGGTATCAATACAGGCTGGGGGGAAAAAAGGATGGAGAGCAGCCCTGCCAAGAGGGACTTGGGGGTACTGATGGACGAAAAGCTGGACATGAGCCGGCAATGTGCGCTGGCAGACCAGGTGGTCAACCGTACTCTGGGCTGCATCAGGAGAAGTGTGGTCAGCAGGTCGAGGGAGGTGATTCTGCCCCTCTACTCTGCTCTGGTGAGACCTCACCTGGAGCCCTGCGTCCAGCTCTGGAGCCCTCAACACAAGAAGGACATGGACCTGTTGGAGCGGGGCCAGAGGAGGGCCACAAAAATGATCCGAGGGCTGGAGCCCCTCTCCTATGAGGACAGGATGAGAGAGTTGGGCTTGTTCAGCCTGGAGAAAAGAAGGCTGCGGGGAGACCTATTCTTTCCAGTGAGGGTGGTGAAAGCCTGGCAGGGGTTGCCCAGAGAGGGGGTGGAGGCCCCATCCCTGGGAACCTTCCAGGCCAGGTTGGCCGGGGCTGTGAGCAACCTGATGTGGTTCAAGGTGTCCCTGCTCCTGCAGGGGGGTTGGGCTGGGTGACCTCTGGGGGTCCCTTCCCACCCAAAACATTCTGTGATTCTATGACCCATGAGCAGCTGATGTTCCTGCAGGGACCCAGTGTGTGCTACCAGCGCAAACTTGACAACAAGGAGCTCGTTAGACTCCCATTACGGAAACACAACCAAAGCGTCCATCCCTGTTGACTTTCACTTCTCATTTGGAAAGAAATATTGGCCATGCACATATTCCTTATTCATGAAACTCATAACCCAAACCCCAAAAGCAGGTAGAACCATCTTTTTTTTTTCCCTCCCCTGAAACAACTGTGGCAAAATTTAGAACAATTTACCAAAGGCACCTGCGCACTTTGTCCCGGAGTGTGAATTTTGGTGGTTCTTTAGGCCCAAGCCTGGAGAAGAGAAGGCTGAGAGGGGATCTCATCAACACCTACAAATATCTCAAGGGTGGGGGTCACGAGGACAGAGCCAGACTCTTCCAAGTGGTGCCCAGCACCAGGACAAGGGGCAATGGGCACAAACTGAAGCACAAGAGGTTCCAGTTGAAGGTCAGGAAGAACTTGTTGACTGTGAGGGTGCCCGAGCCCTGGCCCAGGCTGCCCAGGGGGGCTGTGGAGTCTCCTTCTCTGGAGATCTTCAACCCCTGCCTGGACGCTGTCCTGTGCCCCCTGCTCTGGGTGAGCCTGCTTGAGCAGGGGGGTGGCACTGGGTGAGCTCTGGAGGGCCCTTCCAGCCCTGGCTGAGCTCCAGAGGGCCCTTCCAGCCCTGGCCATGCTGGGATTCTGGGATTCTGTGACACTTACGGTTTTTCTTCTCCTGATACAGCAGCTGGAGTTTAACCATTGGCTGTGCCGCATGGCAGGGGGTGTGGGTGGGAAGGGATTTCTCTGAACTGCGAATCAGCTGTGCTGAACAAACGGCCTCATATCGGCTCTCGCTGAGGAGCCAATTCTGCTCTCTAATAGCAGAAACTGCCTGATAATCACAGAAATGGGCAAAGAGGGAAAAACATCACCTCCTCCCCATGGGACACGCTTGGCTGGGGAGTTCTGCTCCGTGCCCACAGCCACGCACCAGCTCCGTCTTCCTCCTCCGCATAGGAGCCAGGCAGCCACTCTCCCGGGCTCATCGGAGGAAGAGGCATTTGCCAGGATGAGCTCTGGCCACCACCTTGCCAGGCTGGGCATCCACACACCAGGACATGAGGGCTCCCCGTGAAGCAGCCACGCCCGGGGCAGCACTGCTGGCCTCAGCCCATGGGCCCAGCTTTCCCCTGACGTGCGGAAAAACGGACTCCACATCTGTAAGACTGTACAGTAGCTATGTTCATTCAGCGCTGGGCAGCACGGGGGGGTAGTCCCACCAAAGTCATGCACGCGCGTGTGGTAGCTTGCCTTGAAGTTATACGACAAAGTGTTGCGTATACATAAGATTCCCAAATATGCCTATACATATGCATGGCTTGTCCCCACTTCGTATTAAAATTAGCCCCAAGAAGTCATTTCCATCAACTCCTCCCCACCGCGCTTGCGCAGTGTCTCCTGGTGGTGGTCACGGGGGTCATGGAGGATGAAGGCCGATGACTCCTCTTCATCAACACTCGTAATCCCTTGTTCTTGCGCAGACTCAGTTGCTCCTTGGCTCTTGTCCAGACTGCAGGGTCGGTTTTAGCTGGTTCTCAAGGCAACTTCTCGGTTCTTATCAAGGACTTGTACAATACACAACAGTGAGTACATTTTAAGCAACATCATCTCTGCTAGGATCCCCTTTTCACCCCCCTCTGGGGCGCAAGGCTCCCGCCCAACCAGGCGCTGCCTGTGGGCTTATGCCTGTATTAGCGATCGTTAACGTAGGGTGGGGTCGCTAATGGCGTCGATGATTGCAAAATAATTAGCGATGAGGGGAATCCCGGCGGGGCTCCGGGGAAGAGGGGGGGGCGGTGGCCGAGAAG